CAGGAAATAAATACCAGTAAAGTTAAAATACAATCAGTAATTAAATCGATAAATGATCAATAACTAAATCAATAAGGGGACAAGAGTCAGTTTAACAGCAGGAAATAAACACCAGTAAAGCTCAAATACAATCAGTAATTAAATCAATAAATGATCAATAACTAAATCAATAAGGGGACAAGAGTCAGTTTAACAGCAGGAAATAAATATCAGTAAAGTTAAAATACAATCAGTAATTAAATCAATAATGATCAATAACTAAATCAATAAGGGGACAAGAGTCAGTTTTACAGCAGGAAATAAACACCAGTAAAGTTAAAATACAATCAGTAATTAAATCAATAAATGATCAATAACTAAATCAATAAGGGGACAAGAGTCAGTTTAACAGCAGGAAATAAATACCAGTAAAGTTCAAATACAATCAGTAATTAAATCAATAACTAAATCAATAAGGGGACAAGAGTCAGTTTAACAGCAGGACATAAATGCCAGTAAAGTTCAAATACAATCAGTAATTAAATCAATAACTAAATCAATAAGGGGACAAGAGTCAGTTTAACAGCAGGAAATAAATACCAGTAAAGCTCAAATACAATCAGTAATTAAATCAATAAATGATCAATAACTAAATCAATAAGGGGACAAGAGTCAGTTTAACAGCAGGACATAAACACCAGTAAAGTTAAAATACAATCAGTAATTAAATCAATAACTAAATCAATAAAAAATCCATACATAATCAATAATAAATCCTTAAATAACCAATGATAAATAATCAATAATAAATCCTTAAATAATCAATAATAAAAATCAATAATAAATCCTTGAATAATCAATAATAAAAATCATTAAGAAATCCTTAAATAATCAATAATAAAAATTAATAAGAAATCCTAAAAAAATGCGACAAGAGTCAGTTTGAGCCCCTGAGAGGAAACTCTGAGTCCTGTACAGGAAGATAGTTTAACAGCAGGAAATAAATACCAGTAAAGTTCAAATACAATCAGTAATTAAATCAATAAATGATCAATAACTAAATCAATAAGGGGACAAGAGTCAGTTTAACAGCAGGAAATAAATACCAGTAAAGTTCAAATACAATCAGTAATTAAATCAATAACTAAATCAATAAGGGGACAAGAGTCAGTTTAACAGCAGGAAATAAATACCAGTAAAGTTCAAATACAATCAGTAATTAAATCAATAA